AGAGGCTCCAGCACGGAGGAGAACCCAGTTGTGGCTCTTTCCGTTGTTGAAATGGCCCATCGAAGGTTCTCTTTCAGGCAGCTCTTACAGTGACTCCATCTGTCCAAGAGGACCAAAGCTGGAGCTTCAGCAACCTAGAAACTCATCAATTTAATTGTCGGTAATCAATTTTTAATTAATGTTCAATTAGGTTTTTTTTTTTTTTTTTTTGGCCTTGTTTAATTAGTTACTGTTGTGAAAGAGAAAAGTGAAATCACAGTTGCAGTGGCACCTCACAAGGCACTAAATTAGGAAAGAAAGTTAATTTTAGGACTTTAAATGTTTAATGTTAAAAATATTGACCTCATTTTAGTTTTCTTTTTTACTTTTTGCAAGCAAGTTAAGTTTTTTCTTTTTTTTTTCTTTTTTTTTTCTCCCTTTTTTTTATAGTTCTTGTTGAGTATTTTAAGCTTACAATCATTATAGGTTATTAAAGGTGTAAAGGCATATAATGTTATACATGTGGATATCTAAATAAAAAAATCAATTCCATCATAGCAAGTAATTATTGTAAATTTATAATTACATGATGAATATCATATTGTATTGTAACCATATTATTTTTATTTTATTAAAAAAAAATTCAATTGTTATTCATATTTTTGTTTTCTTGAACATGGGAAATTTTGTATGGAAGGGGTGAGGATTTTCCAAGCAGTTGGTCCCATCCTCTTAAGCCCCAAGCACAAAGGCATTGTGGTTGAACAATATGGTTTATTAGGGTGATTTATTATTCATATGTTATATAAAAGTATTACTTACCTGCAACAGAAAGTCAAAAGGAGATGGATAAGAATGAATAAGTTGAGGTGGTAGTGATATTTATTATTTATCCAACATTTTTATCTATAGTCCCAAACTTCTGGTGAAATTCAATTTGATCCTGCTCGTTTGTCTTGTTTCAATTTAGTCTCTCTTCAACTAGTCAATGAGGCTTAAATGCGTTGATTGTAGGTTGAGGGCATTGGAAGTTTTAATTTTTTTTATTTTCTTTATGAATGTAACCCCGTTAAATGATTTGTTGTTCATATTATATTTGCAATTTGTCCATTTGTACATTTCATAAGATATCCTACATAAACTCATGTGGGCAATACAAGGCTCATTTGTAGTTGGGTTTGACCAACGGTTGCTCACGTGTATGAATTTCACACTGTATGAGGTATAACTAACACTAAGCATGGTGTCTTGGGATGAGTCTTGGCACTTTCTTCTCTCTTGGTTTCCCAAGAAAATTGGAGATGGCGGGAGAAGAAAGCACAGAACAGTTAAGTAGTTCTCTTCTTGCTGAAGAAAACCCCAGCACAAGGGGTCCAGATGGGGGTAACTCCGCCACTGCTGTTCTAGTGTTGAGCACCTTCATTGCTGTATGTGGCTCCTATATTTCTGGTGCTATAGTAAGTATCCTCTTGAGTTTTGTGGCTTTCTTCGGTTTATTTAATCCTGAATTACTTCACTTAACTGGAAATGTTGGTGTCTTATAAATGCAGGTCGGATATTCATCTCCTACTGAGACTGGAATCATGGAGGACCTAGGCCTCTCTACAGCAGAGGTTATTGCTGTACATTTTTTTTTTTTTTATAAATTCCTTTGATTAATATTCATGTTCTATAATCTGTTAGTATGATTATCCTACATAATTTACATCTGTATTCTCTCCTTTCTTTTGTGTTGTCTACTCTTCATTTAGTACTCAGTTTTTGGTTCCACTGTGACTATTGGAGCAATGGTGGGTGCAGTCTTTAGTGGTAAAATAGCAGATCTTATTGGCAGGAGAGGTGTAAGTTAATCAAATTCCCATTTGGAAATTTCTACTTCCAATTTTTTATTCACTCATTGAATTATCTGAAATTTTGATTGTACTGCAATGCAGGCAATGGGGATTTCAGAAGCATTCAGCATCGCAGGATGGCTTGCAATAGCATTTTCACAGGTTTTATTTATTTTCTCTGTGTGTCACCTCCTGTTTATTAATTATGCGGTTTGTTTGATTGAGCATGAATCATGCATATTAACATTCCCTTCTTACCATGTTTGGTTAGATTTATAAGATGGAGTTAATTGGTGCAGATTCAGGAAATGAAACTTTAGAAAAAACATGTTTGAATTTTGTACCTGATGCCTTTTTTATTGAGATTACTTTCTCTTTATTTTCAAACATTTGAAAATAGTGAATGTGAAATCCATTAGTGTCTTCTTGGGATTGATCACTATTTGATTTCTTATCAATGCTTTCATGAAGGCTGCATGGTTGCTTGACATCGGTAGACTCTCCACAGGATGTGGGCTTGGGCTCCTTACTTATGTGGTAAATACTACCAAGAGTCAAATATATGTTTGCAACTAACAATGTTAGCACTTCTAAAGCTGCTTGTTTTCCCTTTTACCTAACAGGTACCTGTATACATAGCAGAAATTACCCCAAAGAATCTTCGTGGACGCTTTGCAACTGTCCATCCGGTAAAAAAGACTTTATAAAAGATAATACAAACTTGTAAAGCTGCTGTGTATATAAACTTATGCCTATATATTTCTCAGTTCATGATTACTGTTGGCATAGCCATGACATATTTCATTGGAACTGTGGTCTCTTGGCGTATCTTGGCTCTAATAGGTAACTGAAGCTGTCTAGTTTATTATACCAAATCGGACTGTACACAGTAAGTTTATCCAGATGTTCTTTATTTGTTCATACTTGCAGGGACTATTCCGTGTATAGTAAATCTGTTAGGGCTTTTCTTCATTTCAGAGTCTCCAAGATGGCTGGTAAGAAATATGCTAACAATTTTTTTTTTTTTTTCATTTATTTGAAGGAAAAGGAATTGCATATTTCATTGTAGTCTGCTACTCCAGGGAAATGGTAATCATAAATCTATTTCCTCTGATGATGCCAATGTAAATTTTCTGCAGGCAAAAGTTGGGAAAGAGAAAGAGTATGAAGCTGCTTTGCTTTGCCTTCGTGGAGAAAATACTGATATATCTGAAGAAGCTATTGAAATTAAGGTAACCTTCTAATAACAGAAAATTTTAATTTTACAGATTTTAGCCTTTGGTATTAAAAATTAAAAATGATGATTGACTTTGCTCTTTTTACTTTATAGGAGAACACAGAAGCACTTCAACGGCTCCCAGAGGGTAGAATTCTAGAATTGTTCCAAAGGAGATATGCTCGGTCACTCATTGTCAGTCTTTTGGAAACTTCAGTCTTGTCCTCTAGCCTTTTCTTGATTATTCCTTTATTGTTTTTATCAATTGATATTTCAGATTGGAGTAGGACTGGTATTGCTGAACCAACTTGGAGGCTCTATTGCAATTTCAGCTTATGCAAGTTCAATATTTGAAAAAGCTGGTAGATTATAATTCTTTGGTATTATACTTTATAAATCAAGATTATAGGATGAAAATGAAATGATAAATAGCACGCTAAAGGATGAAAACTTGTTTCTAGCAGGTTTTTCTACCACAGTTGGGACTATTGTAATGAGTGTTGTTCAGGTTGTTTTTCTATAAAGAGTACAATGCTATTATCTCCTCCTGGTTTACTCATGATTTAGGGTCACTGTAGATTTTCCATTTCTGTGCAGATTCCAATGACCATAGGAAGTGTACTCTTAATGGATAAATCAGGAAGAAGACAGCTTCTAATGGTGAAGATTCAAAGAATGTTGCTTTTAATATGATGATCCTTGTTGAAGAAAATATAAAATTGGGTTGAATTTCTACACCTTTCTACAGGTTTCTTGTTCTGGAACTTGTTTCGGCTGCCTTCTAGTAGGGGTGTCATTCTTATTACAGGTTTCTTTATATCGCTAGTTGTCAAATTTTAGCATCTCTTTTAGACATTATTCCAATTTCATCTCTCATTCTAATAATGAAACACTGTGACCAGGACGTGCACTGGTGGAAAGAACTTACACCTGTTCTGGTGTTCATCGGTTTGGTGGTAATTACATTTGAAGCAGAGATATTATTTCTTTCTTCCGCATATGGACATATAGCAGTGCACACAGGATCGTGATGTGCATTTTTGTTTTGTTTTGTTTTGTTTTTGAAGTGATAAATAAGTGGTATTGTGAAAATGTTGGTTCTGTGCAGATATACAATGCATTTTTTGGACTAGGACTTTCAGGAATACCATGGTTGATAATGTCGGAGGTCAGTTAGCTTTATCAAAACATGGACTGTAGGTACAGAGAAATCATGATAAGAATGATGCAATTAGACTAAAAAGTGAACTGTCTTTTCAGATATTTCCCATTAACATGAAAGGCTCTGCAGGAAGCCTTTGTAATTTGGTTTATTGGTCCAGTTCATGGTTCATGACATACATGTTTAACTTCTCAATGGAATGGAGCTCAGCAGGTCATTCCTTCTCCCTTTCTTCTCTCTTTAGATCAATCATTCTCTCGCTCTCATAGATGCACAGAGGTGCTCAGAAAGACATCCCATAATGTCTGTAAAGACATTATACTGATCCACTTATCCTTAATATTTTCAGGAACATTTTTCATATTGTCAGGCATTGCTGGCTTCACTGTTGGTTTTGTTGCAAAGATAGTTCCAGAGACCAAGGGTCGGACACTAGAAGAAATACAAGCAGTACTGAACCCAGAAATAGTGAAAGGATAAACTGCATTTCTCTGAAAATGGACTCTACCTTCCTATATATCTTTTTACTATTTTTGTAGTAGCTTTTGTTTATTATTTGTTGCTGAAGCCATGGTCTGGAAAGTTCAAATGTATTCTGTATTCATGCTGTCTTGGAGACGTTAGTTCTTCTTGTTAGGAGTATTGCTTGCTGACTGTAATCCATGTATTGATAAACCAATAGAAGTTTCAGTCATTTATGAACCAAACTGAAACTGGCTATAAAGATTGGGTAGCAAATGTGATATTATCATGTGCCCAACATTTTTATCTTTACTCCCAAGCTTTCGGTGAAGTTCAATTTGATCTCTCAACTTTATCTTATTTCAATTGAGTCTTCAACAAGTCAATCAGGCGTAAATGGGTTGATTTTAGGCTGAGGACATTGGAAGTCTCAAGGACATCCCCCTGCCTCCTAAATTCATCTTGAATCTTCAACCTCATAAGATAATTAATCTGCACTTGCCTCCAAGATCCAAACCCTAATTTTCTATCCTCGTTCATATTATTTGGAATTTTTACATTTTGGGACATCACAAGGGTCTCCGACAAAAACTGACATGGAGAACAGTAGCACTAACTGTCACCATATATGGTTGAGTTTGACCTATGGTTGCCCACGTGTACAGACTTCAGAGAAAGTACAGCAACCATGATGCCTCGTTTGGTGAGGCACATTGCTACCATTAAAGCTTGATGTCCTAGGATAGGATTCTCTCTCATCACTTTTTCTCTCGGTTTGTTTCCCAAGAAAATATAATGGAGAGAGAAGGCACGGAACAATTGAGCAGTTCTCTGCTTGCTGAAGAAAACTCGAGCAAAAACGATCTAAATGGGAGTAACTCTGCCACTGCTGTTCTAGTGTTCAGCACCTTCATTGCCGTGTGTGGCTCCTATATTTGTGGAGCTACAGTATGTACTTCTTATCCTTTTCAACCCTCTGAATTTTTACATTATTCAGCTTATTTAATCCTGAATAATTTCAATAAAAAGGTAACTGGAAATGTTAATGTCTGATGTATAATGGAGGTCGGATATTCATCTCCTACTGAGACCGGAATCATGGAGGACCTAGGCCTCTCTACGGCAGAGGTAGTATTACAGAATTTTTTTTTTTTTCTAATTTCTCTGATTAATATTGATATTCTTCAAGCTGTTACTGTGATTATCCTACAGTAATTAACGTCTGTATTCTCTCCTTTCTTTTCTGTGGTCTACTGTTTATTCAGTACTCAGTTTTTGGCTCCACTGTGACAATTGGAGCAATGGTGGGTGCAGTCTTTAGTGGTAAAATTGCAGATCTTGTTGGCCGGAGAGCTGTAAGTTAATGAAATTCCCATTTGGTGTATTTTGATCTTGTTTGTAAACTTTGAGCTTTGACTCTTTCTCTTGTCCATTCATTTAAAATTTTGGTTGTTCTGGAATGCAGGCAATGGGGATTTCAGAAGCAGTCAGCCTCACAGGATGGCTTGCAATAGCATTCTCACAGGTTTTATACGTTTTCTCTGCCTATCTCCTCCTGTTTCTTGATTCATTATGCCTTTTCATTTGCTTGCACACAAATCATGTATATTAGCATTCCTTTGTACCAGATGCCTATTTTGTTGAGTTTACTTTCTATCTATTTTTAAGCATTTTCCCGCCAAAAGAAAAATTAAGCATTTGAAAATACTGGAATTTGCAATGCATTAGCATCTTCCTGAGATTGATCACTAATGCTTCTCAATGCTTGGTGGAAGACTGCATTGTTGCTTGACATCGGAAGACTATTCACAGGATGTGGTGTTGGACTTCTTACTTATACGGTAAAATACTATTATGAATAAAGTTTATATTAGCTGTTAACAGTATTAGCACCCTCAAAGCTGCTTCTTTTTCTTTTTATCAAACAGGTACCTGTATACATAACGGAAATTACTCCCAAGAATCTTCGTGGAAGCTTTGCAGCTGTCCATCCGGTAAATAAAACTTTACAAAAGATAATAGTAATATAAAGTTGTACAGCTACTAAGTTCAGTGACCATGTTTGAATTTCCTCTTATGCGTTCTCCAGTTCATGCTTACCATTGGCATAGCCATGACATATTTCATTGGAGCTGTAGTCTCTTGGCGTATTTTGGCTCTTATAGGTGAGTAACTGAAGCTGTCTAGTTTACTCTTCTAACTCGATTGGATTTTAAGCAGTAAGTTTATCCAGAGGTTCTCTATTAATTTGGTCACACCTGCAGGGACCATTCCATGTGTGGTACATCTGGTAGGACTTTTCTTCCTCCCGGAGTCACCAAGATGGCTGGTAAAAATTTTCAAACCGTTTCTTTCAATCATTTGATGCAACGGGGGTTGTATATTTCATTGTATATTATTCTACTCTAGGGTAATGTTCATCATAAATCTTATTCCCCTGATGATGCAAATGTAAATTTTCTGCAGGCAAAAGCTGGTAAAGAGAATGTGTATGAAACTGCTTTACTGTGTCTTCGAGGAGTAAATGCTGATATATCTGAAGAAGCTATTGAAATTAAGGTAACCTTCCAAGAACAGAAATTTCTAATTTTGTAAGTTTAGCCTCTGGTATTAAAAATGGTGATTAACTTTGGATATTTTTACTTCATAGGAAAACATAGAGGCACTTCAGCAGCTTCCAGAGGGTAGAATCCTAGAATTGTTCCAAAGGATATATGCCCGGTCCCTCATCGTTGGTCTTTCGAAACTCTAGTCCTGTCCTCTCGCCTTTTCATGATTATTCCTTTAATCTTTCTATTCTTTGATATTCAGACTGGAGTTGGGTTGGTGTTACTCCAACAACTTGGAGGCTCTATTGCAATCGCATCGTATGCAAGTTCAATATTTGAAAAAGCTGGTAGATTGTGGTTCTTTGGTATTTTACTTATACAAATCAAGATTATAGGACGTAAAGTAGATGATAAATAACACTCTGAAGGATAAAATCTCGTGTCTGGCAGGTTTTTCAGTCACAGTTGGGACTATTGTAATGAGCGTTGCTCAGGTTATTCACCTATGAAGAGTACAATTCTATTTTTGCCTTCTGGTTTTCTCATGATTCAGTCACTGTAAATTTTCTATTGCTGTACAGATTCCAATGACCATATTAAGTATACTCTTAATGGATAAATCAGGAAGAAGACAGCTTCTAATGGTGAATATTCAATCATTCAAAGAACGTTGCTAGCTGATGGTTTTGTTTGAAGAAAAGAAAATACAGAAATGAGCTGAACTTCAACCTCATTTTTTCAGGTTTCTTGTTCTGGAACGTGTTTTGGCTGCCTTCTAGTTGGCCTGTCATTCTCACTGCAGGTTTCTCTCAGTTGCTATTTGTTAAACTTTAGCATCTCTTTTAGGAGACCATTCTCCATTTCCCCGTCTCCTCTTGTTCTGACTAGGAAACACCATGACCAGGATATTCGGTGGTGGAAAGGGCTCACTCCCGTTCTGGCATTCATTGGTTTAGTGGTAATCACATTTTCTTTCTTCAGTTTATCCAAAAACGCCAATGCACGCACGATCATTTACATGCAAGCGTTTTGTTATACTTTGTTATGTTTAAGAGGAAATTAGTAAATGATATTACAAAAATTTTGGTTCTGCGCAGACATACAATGCATTTTTTGGACTAGGACTTTCAGGAATACCATGGCTGATAATGTCAGAGGTAAGTTAGCTTTATTGAAACATAAACTGTAAGTATACATAGAACTTATGATAAGAATAATGGAATTAGACTAAATGGTGAACTGTTTTTCCAGGTATTTCCCATTAACATGAAAGGCTCCGCAGGAAGCCTTTGTAATTTGGTTTATTGGTCCAGTTCATGGTTCATGACATACATCTTTAACTTCTCAATGGAATGGAGCTCAGCAGGTCAGTCCTTCTCCCTTCCTTTGTTCTCTCTTTACATCTATCTTTATCTCTCTCATCGATACACATGTGAACATAAAGACATCTACGACTCCTGCACAGACAATAGACTCATTTGCTTATCCTAAATATTGTCAGGAACATTTTTCATATTGTCAAGCATTGGTGGCTTAACTGTTGGATTTGTTAGAAAGATAGTTCCAGAGACCAAGGGACAGACACTAGAAGAGATACAAGCAGTGATGAACCCGGCAATAGTGAAAGGATAAACTACATGCCTCTGAAAATGGACTCTACCTTGCTTGGTACATTTTTGGTAACTGCTTTTTAGTGATTATGTTTTGCGGAAACCATGGTCTGAAAACTTCGAATGCATGTACTTTGTATTGATGCTGCCAACCAGGCACTAATAACGCCGCGTTCCCATTGAGATCTCTCGTTGAATGCATTTTTGGTTGATGAGAACATGAATTTTATAATATGCTATGTCCCATCCCAAAGTACTACATCAAAAAAGAAGTATATAAATATGAAGGCTAACCACTACTTGAATTGAAGCTTTTATAAGTCAAGTAGTTCATAGTCCAAAAGTTGGTTAAGACAATGGGAGCTTCGACTTCATACTCTTGTCGAGTATTATAACAAATAGTGATCAATCTTGTGGATCAATGACTAGGAAGATGAAAGGGTACAAAACTTAGATGGGCCTTCTTGATGATTTTTTTTTTTTTTTTAAGGCAAAGAAAATTTATTATGATGAATTTAATTAGTTGAATTATTCAGACAGTGGGAAGTTTTCTAAGAGAAAGTAGTGCCAATTTGGCAGTTGCGCAGTTCAACATGTTTCAAACTGCAGAACATTGATCATTGATGAAGGGCAGACAACCCCACATTCAGAGGGTATGCTCATCAATGGTTTATAAGATGTGATTTTCTAAACTTTAAAAAAACTTTAAAAATAATACAGAGAAAATTCTTTAGAATGTACCACATTCTTGCAAGGAGAAAAAACATGTGAGTTATGCCTCTAAAAGAAGTTTGACTCTTTGTTAGGTGAGACATAATATATAATTATGGTCTAAAAAAGTATTGTGTAGTTTAAATTGCATAAATTATTAGATAGAGTGCAAATCTCTTGATATTAGAGACTTTTTGTTCATCTAAATGGTTTCTGTATTGTAATCTAATACAATCCAAACTGCAAAATACGAGACTCTTGTGATATTAAAGTTGCTTTATGTCTTCCTTTCCTTTAAGATATTTTCAGATATCTGATATTACTTCCTCCTATGATATCATAACGAAGATACAGAGATCTACAACCGAAAAGTTATCAAGCAGAGTCTAAATAAACATAAACTAATCCCAAAACATGTCTGACTTACTTTACCGTGAACAATTGAATTAAGTGTTGTTTCAGATATTTCCAATTAACATGAAGGGCTCTGCTTGAAGCCTTGTCTTTATAATGGCCAATTGGTTCACTTCTTTGATCTTTATGTACATATCTTCTACTTCTCAAAGGAATGAAGCTCTGCAGGTTCCCTCTTCCCTCCCCATCTTCTCGAGCGTGTATGCCTGCAAATAACATATCTCAAGATGATATTTATACCCTTTATGTTTTCAGCAACAATTTACATATTTGCTGGTTTTGCTGGCTTTTACTTTTGCATTTGTTGCGAAAAAGATACTGGAGACAAAGGGAAGACACTAGAAAAAAATACTGGCAGCGACGAATCCTTCAAAGCTAGAAGGTAAATTAACCAAGCAATGTGGCATGTTAAATGTCGAAATTCCCTTTTTCTTTGAAGGCATAGGATGCAGTGAAGGGAAAATCAGAACCCTAATTTTTGAGAGTATATTTTTATGCTACCAAGAAGAACAGATGATTGATTGAACAGTCAACGTCAACCACACATTTTATTGCATCTGATTCTACTCTTTGGACAGTCCTGATGTTCTGATTCATGTTCTAATTTATATTTGCTTCATTGGGAAGCTTGTCTCTTTATAAATTGATGGCATAGAGGTTTTTTCATCTGATTAAGGAAGTAAATTTTCAGTCAAAAGGCAAGGGTCATTAAAGCCACCCAAATCCGTTTTGATCAACTAGGGGATTCTTGGTGCCATTTTCATTTGCCAGAGTCACGCAAGATCAAAACTCTTCTAGACTGACAGATTCTTTCTTGCATTTCATTTCATGCATGAATCCTCCCATGCTGCATTTCATCTGCTTGGTCTCAATGTATCAAACAAAACAATCTTCAGGGTAGTCTCATATTTTTAGGAGCTGACATTTCCAAGCCAAATAGAAAGCTGTGTAACTAGAGATCACATGCTCCAAATGGCTCAAAATCCATCTTAAAAGGTAGGAACTAAAACTGAGACAAGGCTTTTCTTTTTTTGATACATCAATAGTTAGTAACTTGGTATAACAGCGATTCAAATCATTGATTGACTTTAAATCAAAATTTCTTTAGTTAGTGAATAGTGATACTAATTCAATAAGACTCTTGTTGGTAAAAAAAAACTAAACAAGTTTTTGTACAATAGGTTTTACTTCTAAAATCTCAGAAATGGCTTTCACAGGATAGTCTTTATAATTGTTTCGGTAGCCTTTCCTGTTTGGCCTATGTGAAGCCTCGAATCTCTAATAAATAGAAAAAAGATGTATGAGTGAAAGAAATATAAGTGCCAAAAGCTCAAGATTAACTGCTATTGATAACTTGATTTTAAACTTTTAAATTTAATTGAATCAATTAAACAAGAACTACCTAGATTACTTTAATTGTTATTCTTGATTTTGGTGATTTGAAAATCAAATGTGAATTGGAATATATTATTGATTGAATTGATTGGAAGTTAATTTACTTGTGAGTATATGATTTATTCCTAATAATATTGAATTAATTTTCAAATATTAAGTTTTGAATGTGTTTCTTTTTGGGTAAAAGTTCATTTAATTGCATGATTATATTTCCTTGTCGTGGGTAACCAAAACAAAAAGTACATTCTACAATTGAGGTTCCAACCCGTGTGACAGGGTTTGGAACCCTTGATAATTCTATTTTTTGCAAGATTGTGTAGGAAATCACTCATGTTCCAACTCTTGAAGGCAGTTTTTAACCCCTTGTGCTAAGACATTAATTTACCTACTATATTTGGAATATATTCATTCTAAAAAGGAGTTCTAATAGTAAAACACATTGATTGAGCATTCTTAAGCTATAAAACCAGATCTTGAAGAATGGAGAAGCACAAAGAATAGAGCCTTCAAGTTGAAAAACCAAGAGTGATTAAGTTTCTACTTTGTGCTTTGTGAAATCTCTTATTTTCTTGTTCTCTTATTTTCTTGTTCTCTTTCATTGTAACGAGTGAGAGAGGGATTGGGAAAACCTTATTAGATCTAGTAATCCATCCTTGAGGTATATGAAGGGTTGAGAGATTTGTATCAAGGGGATTAAACGATTCAATAGTACCTGTAAGCTATTGGGTAACCTTATTAGTTCTAGAGAAAACCATCCTTATCAGATAGGATTGGGTTTGTTGAAGATTGTAACAAAGGGTTAAATTGTTGAAGGTGGATAATGCTGACAAAGCTATTGCAAATAGTTGACTTTACACCCAAAAGTTAGAGGAGAGATTCTAAATCCAAAACTAACTCTCAAGTAGGTAGCTTGAGGAATAAATTAAGTACAAATTGTAACCGAACCACTATAAATCCTTGTATTTTAGTTTTTTCTTCCCTTAACTTTTAGTTTCTGCACTTTAACTTAGTTGTACGCAATTGCTTGTGTTTATTCATTGTTTTGTTTTTGAAAATTACATAAAGTTTTTGAAAACCCAATTCACCCCCTCCTCCCCACCCCTCTTCTTTGGTTGCCATATGAGCCAACTTTAATATGTTTTATTTTAAGACTCATTATATAGGAAAGAAATTTCTAATTGACAAAAGAGTATAAACCGGCATGAAAATTAACACTTTTTCCTGGAAATTTTTTTATCTAAGGGGGAACATTGTATATATTTAAAAATTATTTTATAATTCAAACTGCAATAATAATTTAAATCTCTAGATTGATTAAGAAATTTTTTAATATTAAAGATTATCCACCAGACTACAAAAAGGGAAACTTTTTTTTTTATTTTTTGTATTCTCCTGATAAATAAGAGCAAATAATAATAATAATAATAATAATAATAATAATATCGACAACAGCTCTTCAGATATTTTTTTTACTTATCAGCGTCAGTTCTTCTAAAGTTGATTCTCATAAATTTCACTTTATGTTATTCTTCCATCATACTCTTCCCTTATAAATTTTCAACTCTGCTCAACACCATCGATCAAAAACACAAAGCAACAATTAAAGCT